CCCCTATACATAAAGAAATGGCCATCGAGGCAATTTTGACGACCTCCTCTGAAGTATATAATTCTGCAATCATTGCCGGCGACTTCAACACCCCGTCCATCCTCTTTGAGACAGAAGGGAGACGCATCAGATCCTTCAGTCACAAGCTGAAGAATACAATTAAGACCGCTGGTCTCTCAGAGAAAGTGGGCGATACCGCACGCTGGGGGCCTGACGAAGACGCATTGCTCCTTGGCTACGTTCTGACGGGCAGTGACCTCATCATTAAGGGTGTATGCATCCCACCTCTCCTCAGCCTCAACGGCCACGCAGCAATAACCTTCTCTACTATTACCAGGGAGGTCCTGAAGCTGGAGACACCGACACCTCCCCCTGCTACAGCAAGGCCGGCTACCAGACCATGAGTGACTGCCTCATGAATGCGTCATGGCCGGTAAACTGAACCCACCTCACAAAAGATGAACACTGGACACAGGCGAAGAAAATAATCGTTGGGGCCATTGGTCACGGTGTACCAGAGGTAACACAGACTGTCAGTGAAAACCTGACGGCTAAAGCGTGGAACAGAGAGGCTAACCCAGAGCAAGAAGCAGGCTTGGTTCAAGTGGCGTTCATCATGCAGGGAGTCTGGCTTTTCGAAATACAAAAGAACTCGCACCGCTGTAACATAAGAGAGCGTAGCGGCAGACTTGCCCATCAAGCAAACCTAACGGGGAGGTTGTGAAGCAATCCCAAAAACCTGTCGAGAAGGAAGAAAGTGAACCTTATCACAGGTCATGGCTGGAGTGTACTAAGCGGTTTAGAGATTGCCGAGCTTTTGGGCTCACAATTCCAAGCCCAACTTAGCACCGACACGTTACGACACCGACCAGGTAGTAAATAACAAATACCTCGACCACATCTCAATTGCAGAGAAAAAACGGAGAAACTATCTAGGCTACGCCCAGGCGAGCCCGCTGGCTGCGATAGCCTAAAACCAGTGATCCTAAAAACTCAGCTGAGGTGCTTACAAAACCACTCTGCAACCCCTTTGAGGGCTCAGTGGAGTCGTGCAGACTCTAAGGAATGGAAGGGCGCCATCTTTTCAGCCATCTTCAGGGGAGGAGACAGAAAATGCCCTGGCAGCTACAGGCCAGTTGCCCTACTCCCTTTTGTGTTTTGACATTTGACAGTGTCCCATCCGCAACCCTGTCTCACAAGATCATATCAGCTGGTATAAGTGAACCCCTACCCTCTTGGTTCAGGAAGTACCTGGAAGGGAGGCAGTTCTGCACCAAAGTAAACAGAATAAGGTCAATGTGGAGACCCTCGACGTCAGCAGTATCCCAAAGAGCAATCCTAGGACCACTTCTGTTCCTCCAGTTTGTCAACGATCTGCTAGACTAAATATCCCCACCCATCCTCCTCCTCGCCGACGACATAAAAACTTGCGGGTGGTAAATGAAGAAGCTGATTGTACAGCACTACAAAGGGACTTGTAGCAACTCGAACTCTGGTCATAGGAAAATGGCCTGAGCTTCAACCTGGAAAAGTGCAAAGTAATGCACATCAGTAAATATGAAGCAAGCACGACCGACTTCCAGTACGTGTTGAGCAACAGTGCTATCACCAGTGTCCATGGAGAAAGACTCGGGCCCGATTCCTCCGATACCTTGGACACCAGCTCCAACTAAAAAGGTATGACAACCAGAACGAATGCCATTCTGCACTTTCCGCATAGACAGCTCGGCGTCCTCACTCCTGAACTCTTCCTCACTATCTTCAACTTCTACGTGCGGCCGCATCTAGAGGTCTTCAATACGGCGTCCCCCAACGCTCAAAAGAGACTCTAATCTCCTTGAAAAAATATGAAGAGCCCAACAAAATCAGTTGTGGGGCTAAGGGGAAGGATGTATCCTGAAAGACTTAAACACCTAAACCTATTTACCTTGGGTCATCGTAGGAAGAGGGGTGGCCTTATTATGGCATACAAGATCGCCCATCAGGCGGACCATGCAAACAAATCAATTTTGCCTGCAACTCAACGATCTTCACGAGGAGACCTCATTAAGATAGCACACCAGAGAGCCAACAGCACACTCAGGTCCAAAATTTTCTCCCTGAGAGTGTGCGCTTTATGGGATGCCTTGCCGCGACATATCGTCGTAACTTCCTCAGTCGACTCATTCAAGAGATGATTAGACACCTCGCGTGGTCTACCACGGACGTACTCAGGTAGTCACCGACCTTACTACCCCAGACTCCCTCCTACCTACCACTCTGTCCTTAATACACACACTGCCCACTAATTATTCTGTAGAAACCAAACCCACGCTACCACTCGGGCGATTCCCACATACTTTTCTCTCCCTCTTGTTTCTCTTTTTCATCCCTCCTTTTCTTCTCCTTCCCTTCTCTTCCTTTCTTTCTTCTTCACTATTTTGCCACTACCTTACTATCCTCTTTCAGGTACCTACACAGACAGGAGTCACGACAGTCCCCCGAGCTTCCCATCAACCCGCAGCTCCCCAATCACTCTACAACTTACAACTTACTAACCCACAAAACATCCACCTCACCGAAGCTAAAAGGAAGAAGGCGGAGAAGATTCCGTCGTCCACTGCAGCGGTGAATCGAACAACTGGAACCAAGCCCTAAGAACTAGAAGCGAGAGATCAAAAACCATCAGTTTTCTAAGCTTGCACTATCAATATTGGATGTTGGAACACCCAACTACCTATCCGGCTAACCAAAGCTAAGACAAGCCAGTGGGTAGACTAACCTCATCGGAATCCACCAGACGCCTGAAACCAATCCGCAAGATTAAGAAGCGAATCCAAGAAAATCAACTGGTTTATACGAACTGGTAAAAAGGTATTGGATATTGGATGTTGGATGCCTCTGAAAACGTCCCAGTAATCACAGCAATGCCACAAAAGCGAACCTCATGGCTGAAACGAAGCACTGAACGCCTTTTGAAAGCCAAGAGGAAAGCATGACACAAGTGGAGGACCTCCGAAAAGTGTCTGACCACATCATGTATATTGCCCCAAGAAATCGCTGTGACATTAGAGTGAGGGGAGGCAGGAGGCCATTCGAGACGAACCTTGCCCAAAAGCCCGAGGAAAATCCAAAAAACTTATATCGGATTATGGCAGGCAGAAAATCCACCAGCCAGGGGCTAGCGTCCTGAAAGGCCTAGATGGAGAGAACCTCTCCGAACTAGAGATCGCCGAAGCCTTTAGCTCCACCTTCGATACGCAACTCAATACGTCCCTACCGAACCAAAATTACCAACTGCCTGACCGAAATTCAGCACCACCAAACGCAGTAGAGTTACCTGGAATGAGGGTAACTCATGCTATGGTCCTCGAAAAACTGTCAAAGTTCCGCGCAGGGAAATCACCAGGGTGTGATGACATCCGACCGGCTGTGCTGAAACAATGCGCGTGAGCCTTGTACGGTCTGCTGTGTAACTTGTTTCAACACTCCTTAGACAATCACATGCTTTCACAAGGGTGGAAAAGTGCTATTCTGCCCCCCATCTTCAAAGGTGGAAACAGGCAGAACCCAAAATGCTACCGACCACTAGCCCCCCTACCAATGGTGCCAAAGTTAATGGAGAGTCTGGTAGACGACCATCTCAGGGAGTTCTTAGAAAAGAGGGGAGCTCTTAGTGATGCACAACATGGTTTCAGAAAGGGTAGGTCGTGTGCCACAAACATTCTGGCGGCAGGTGATGAGTGGACGGCATGCTAGGACCTCCGAATTCCCGTCCATGTTATTTTCCTGGGTTTTGCCAAGGCCCTCGACACAGTTCCACACAGTTCTTATTCACAAAATAGAAGGGTGGGACATCAAGGGACAAGTGCCTTCATGGTTGCAGGACTATCTAGACGGTGGACAGTTCTGCACAAAAGCCAACAGAGTTTGCTCGACTTGGAGGACATCATCATCTGGTGTATCACAGGAGGCGATTCGGGGTCCGCTGCTATTCCTTCTTTTTGTGAACCACCTCCCACTGAATCTCAGCTCCCCAGTTCTACTCTACGCTGATGATGTTAAGCTATGGAGAGCTGTGACGTCAGAAACAGAATCAAGTGCACTGCAAAGGGATCTCAGACTACTTGAAGAGTGGGTGGATATTGATGGACTTGCATTTAACCTAGATAAGTGCCGAGCCATGTTTCTCCGCACCCCCGACCCTCAGAAGGTACCCTATTCTCTCTGCGCAACACAACTCTCCCATCCCACACCGTCTGTTGACAGCCTCAAGAAGAGGTTGGACGTTGCGCAGCGATGCACGGTTTGCGCTCATCCAACCGGGATGTGGACTAGGCTAACATGACTTACTAACTCGGTGCGACCAACCCTTACTGAACACTTTGTAAAACCACTATCACCGAGAACTTGGCTTAACCTTATACCTTCCTGTAGACGTCCCCCCCAGTTACCGTCTCCTACTAGAAGAATTACTGTATTCCCATTCATCCTATCATTTTATTCATTATTCTTCCTTCTGACTTTACGCTCTCAAACTCTAACAAGAGCTCTCCCTATCAGCTATTACCCATGAACCTACCAATGTTTTACTCTTCCATGCCGCTTCCTTTTTCCCGATCTTTTTTTAATATATTCTCCTTCTTTCTTTTTTCCCTTTCTTTTTCTATTTTGTCTCCCCTGCACTTTCTCTCTCTTGATTTCTCTGCACATATTTTTCATCTCCTTTTCACAACCAGTCTGACCAATTGTCTGCTGGCACGACATTTGAGGAACCCATCTGCACCATAGTCCTCGGAAGAAAAAGCAAACAAACAAACACTCCCTACAAAACTAAACAACACCCAAGCGCCCATCTGGTTGACCAGAGCTACAGCAGTCGAGTGGGTAGACCCACTGCATTGGAATCCACCAAAGACCTGGAAGCGTTCCGTAAGACCTCGGAGCGAGCGCGAAGAAATCAATTGGTTTACACTAGCTCGTTAAAAGGCATTGGATATTGGATATCACCATGACATTTCATTGGACAATACCGCTGAGCATGAAGTGGTTTGATAAGACCCTCATGGATGCTGTTCACAGTTCAGTAAGAGGTGTATACTTATCAAAGCTGATCACAGGAATGGTTGGCGCTAATAAAAGATATCGATAAACATGTTTACTCTGACCAGCAAGATACTAATGTCCATGAGCTAACGGATCATGAATTGGGTTCAATGATACAAAAGTACATCAAATCCATGGGCCCAGGTAGGCTCCAGGTTTATTTTGAGGTCCTTAATAATTTACTATTGAGTTTTGAGATTCCAGCTAATGCTGTTGGCCACAATCTAAAGGCTGAAACTCGAGACAGCTATATTTGAACATGCCCAACTGGGCCCTACTTCGTATATAAATATGAAAATTAGCCTCGTCCTCCAGACTGTCCATTACTTTCCATACCACATTTCATAATTAAACGTATTCTCACAGCCCTTTTTATCCTATAGTGCCGGAATTAAATTTCCACATTAAAATTTTTTCCAGTATTGGTAACTACAGCAATATTAAAAAAAGAGAAAAATTCGTTTTCGTGAGGTTTATGCACACCTACAAGCTGTTAGAAGTCTTGATAAACCGCTGCACCCAAAATTGTTTTCGAATTTATGGTACTCATTTCGAGTGAAAATTCTGAAGATCGTCCTAAGTACATCCTTGTTGAGTGATTTTCGAGATTTTTATACTAATGATTCTCATGAATAAATAGCCTCCGTTTCCCCAGTTTGTTCTGGTTCTTCTGTACTGCCCTAAAACCTCTGCTTCCCTTTCGGTGTGTTTGAAACCTGCATCTAACCTGGCATCCAACACCTAAAATATTAGTTCTGGGTTTCTTAAATCCCAGGAAAAGAAAGTTATCTTTAAGTACACTTTAAAACACTCAGCACCAACCGAAAATACGAAACGCTTCCTCTCAATGTTCTAAAGTGTGTTCGGAAGTTGTCAGACGAAACTTCAAAAAACTCTAAAATGCTCCATAATCACTCTAATAATTGGGTTGCCAGTTTATAAGGGACGTATGGACTGTATTTTTTTTTTTTGCTTGAAACACTGTAATACCGTGCAGGAAGTTTGAAAATGTTCAAACGGTTTTGGAGATTTAAGCTATTCTTCATGGATTTAGGCCGTTAAAATAACCCTAAATATGAACATTTTAACATTAGGTGAACAAATCAAAAAATTGATGTGTAGAAACCAACTGCATTGGTTGCACAATTGAAATCTCACCGGAAGCTAAAAGGTTGTGTTAGGTTGAGTCTCTGTAGGTAGGTGAGCTCATAGTTACCAGCTTCATCTATCAAACCATTTATAGGAAATGGTTGTTGTACTACTGTTATTTATCATGTTAGTCACCTTCGTCGTGAACTATATACTAAAAGCATCAAGTGTTTCCCGAAATTCTATGGGAATGACATAGTTAAAGCTGTTATCTTCTTCATTAGTCCGGAGGTCTCTGCCATGGGTTTTTAGAAGCATGTAGAGCTTCTAAGTAAAACCTGAGGCCTTGAAAGTTTTGTCTACATGGTTGAGAAAGCAGAAAAAGGTGAGGTAATCAGTTAAATTATAAGAACGGAATGTTGGCTCAAAGTTGGAAATCTTGCAGCTAAGTGATAAAATATATGTTCCTGCAATACACGCATCTCGGTGTGCTTTGTTGTCCCAATTCCCTTTTTAGGCGTGTTGACTTATACGCTTCCAGATTTTTCATGTCAACAGAATACTTCCATAGCAATCTTTTGGTGGAAAGTGGTTGGCCAAGTTACTTGGACTTCTGTTTACTGGGCCTATGTATTTCGATAAACCACCCTAGCCTAAGTTATTGAGTGTACAGCATTATATCTGTCATTCATTAATACGCTCAGGACTTGTAGATAGCTGCTGAAATTCTACGCGATCTCATGGCTGTGTAGTTAAAGTCGTAGACGTGGCACCTTTTATTCAGATCCATTTTGTCTGCCTCCTTGCTCTTTTGTTGACTTTTCTGGAACTACCAATGAGCACACATAGCAATAGCCTCTTTTATTTGGCTAGGTCTGGTCTCGAAAGCTCATGGATGCAGCGTTGCCGTAGACATTGACCATCCTGTTTTCACTAGCAACTACTGAAATAGCTAAAATGTATAAAAATGGATCAATGAGACTTGGTTATCTGTCTAGTTCAGATCTAATTGAACAGCTTATAACTTATCCATCGGATTAGACAAATCATCTGAAACCTGTGAATGGGTCTAAACCCTTCTTCCGCAGACCAGTGTCAGCATATCAGCATGCGCTTCTAGTATACAGTTCATTCCATCTGCAGTGGCCATCTCGAGGGACAGACAAAGAAATAAGAAATCAGTCAGGAAACTCAGCATTGTGAGAAGACTGCCATACCTTCACTTTAGTTGTGATGTACGGTGATTTGACTTCAAGAAGTAACTTTTGAAGCCTCTGGACTAACCATCACCGTAATGAAAATATACCAAAGCAGAACTAGTATTTCATGATACATTGCACGTATACGTGTTTTTTGTGCAACCATCCAACGTGCTTCACACACTTCGCTTGGCATTTTCAAGAGTACGTCAGAAGAACTGTCGGGTGACGTTATTCAGGTGTGAGCAACCACTCATGCCAACACCACAGTGAAGATTCATGCGACTCACTGAGACATAGGCCCACGACTGATGGTTTGGAAAGTGGACGGTCAAAAGCTGTAGTGAACTATTAACTCTCTGAAAGTGACTTTTCCTATTCACAGGAAATACATATCTTTAAAATGGCGAATGTCTTTGAGGTAAAAGTGTTGACGATGTGACTGTTACCCGGTTTCAACAAATCAGAAGCACTTTCTCCATAGCTTTCATATCAAGGAAACTCTTACTGATATCTACAAACGTTTTGCTCGTATATTGTATCATTTTGCTCATTGTGCTAACACTAGGTGTGCCAGGTTGAACCACAGTGGCATTATATCATAAGAGGTTCCATCGTTTTTTTCTTTGGCGACTCAGTAATAAAAATTGGCCAAGTATAGTTCATGTATAAGGCTGTGACACTGCCTTCTCTATGAGGGCTGTGATACCATTTTGCCCTTCAGATTAACAGATGTGATTGTAGTTTAAACTAGGACACATCAGTCAAAAGTCAAGCGCATAGACAAGTTCAAAACAAAGTTCACCGGCTTAAGTCAACAAATACTTAATAAGTGTTCGGTTTCCAAGCTGGAAACTCATACCAGAATGGTCTATTCAGGTTGATGAAGCTATATGAATAAGCGAAGTTTTAAACACATTACACAACATCATTCCCTATTCATAAACTCTGTTCCATGTCCCGTAAGCGCTAACAACCTACATTCGTACCCTCCTCCTAAGGTCTGAAATCCACCTACATTTCTCGAATTACTTGTTCTCGACAACTAACTAGGCGTCGAATGAATACAGATACCAGCATCCGAGGAACTATGGTGATAAAACCAACATTCCTATATTTGGCAAATAAAACTTTCTCCCATCTAAGTATTTGCAATTATCAACAATCTTACGGTCCAACAGCGCAATGTCGAATTCTCACACACTGAATAGTGTCCTAGTTATTTGAAACTCTTGTTATGGATTATTACACTCAAAGGTGATTGAAGGTTAGAGATTGAATCCTTTTTTCAGTAGGCGTAAGGTTGAAACAGTCTTCTTAAATATTGAAAGAGTTAGGGAATCACCCCCTTTATCTCGTTTCAACTCAGGCTTTTGACTGGCGACTGCCAACCAGTTGGGATGCTTTCCAAACTGTCCTGACCAAAGTTTCAACTGTTAACCTCAGCGAGTTATCAGGAACCCAACATTATCACAGGTGGCGTCAAAATCTACTGTCATCTCCGAGTCACTTAGTGAAATAGTGCATAATAATTATCGAGTACTGTCAAGGGATAATGTCATCTCGGTCATTTCCACTCTCACCATTCGCAACTGATCACTATTACTAAGACGACTCAAAGTCAGTTTATGTTCACACTTACTTCACTCCTCAACGTGGATCAGAGCTACTCGGAGTGAGATTATATGCATCAGTCAGTCAGTCAGTCAGTCAGTCAGTCAGTCAGTCAGTCAGTCAGTCAGTCAGTCAGTCAGTCAGTCAGTCAGTCAGTCAGTTAGTCTAGATGAGGGAGCACCAAGCCACTCGCTTACTACCCAACTATCACATGACTTCCAGTTCACTTACAATCATAATTGAACACATGAACAATACCACATGAAATTATGACTTCACATACATGATTCGTACAACCAATGGTTATACCATATTCTAGCAAGACCCCTGTTCACTAAAAGACGAGTCTAGTACTCACAAGTTGCACAAGTTACTACTAATATGGTACATTCCCACACACATCTCGCCTGCACATTCACACCACTTAATCATTTACAAAAATATGGTGAGACACGACATCCCAAAAGAAAGCAGTTGCACACACTAACTAGCTTCAGTTAACGTGAAGAAACCACAAATCAATATTACACCACTGAATTCAGATATACAGCTGCATTATGGAATAATTTCCATGACAAATATATTTCCAATGAAACAAAACAATCCAATGAAGTGTGTTTCTCCTCCTTCTCTCGATAGCTACAGCAATATCTCCTCTGACAACACTAACTTCATATTTATTTTGCCCTCCTAGATGAAAATTGCATCTCACTTGATTTTTACTCGTTAACTGAAGTGGACAATTTTCACCAACATAGCTGTTTGTTGAGGGAGAGTGGACAGGACTTTAGTCAAGTAATCCACCTTCCACTCTTGAAATAAACACCATTCGCATAGTAGTGAGTGCATATGAAGTGTAAGTTGAATTCAATGAGATGGATGACATAGATTAAGCAGATTGTAGGGAGAAATCGCACTCGAATGGTATACGGGTGTCCCAGTGGTACAAAGTTTACTGATTATTTTGGACTGGAGAATTGTAGCTCATACGACCTCTTATCTCATTTGACAAATTGTAAGAACACTTTAAGTCTGCTTGCGACATATGCATTGTTTTTCAATTGTCTGGATAGTAGTTTGACAGTTTATCATATTCAGTGTAAACGTAAAGATAAAGACACTTTTTTCTAATACATTCTCTGATTTCAGGTAGCCGATATCATTGTATGTTATCCAAACTCAGTCAACTACTCAACATGAATCTTCATCGCTCATTGCAGTACCATATATCCTTAAAACATTCTACAAGTCAGTTGCACACCGAAATACCTGATGAAACCTTGTCAAGAAAGCGTTGGGATGGAGGAATTTTTGAACAATCCCCTCAGTATGATTCTTCCATTTATTCAAGTAAATCGGATTATATTACGATGGAAGTGAATGAAACACTCATTTCTTTACTGGAAAGTCATACAGAATTTCTCAGTAAACTTTCTTCACGTTTTCTGAATCAATCTCTTCAAAGTTCATATTTCCGAAGGAGAGTATGGAACATTGTATTGTTGTCTAGATGTAAGTGTAATGTTAGAAATTATTTAAAATAAGTAAATATATAGAGTTCTGCATTCATTAAAACGTAATAATTTGTAGCATTTTATTTCTCTGTATTGTGATGATATATGTAACAACTCGTTGAACAGTTTTGTTTAGTTGTACTGATAAAGACGTTTTGCTCGCTCGTTGACCAATACAACATCCCGATATATACTTTGCGTTAACTCTCGATATTTACACTGTCTGATGCAGGTGGATCAGCAGTGTAAGGAATTGTTAGTTGGTTGGAGACAATCGGCAAGAAGCCCTGGACCTAGGTTTCGTGCTTTTTGGCACTCGTCAGCAAGGCGTATCTGCAACCTCGACGGAAGTGATGTCCCGCCCGAGATTCAAACACGCGTCACCTAGTGTTGTAGTCAGCGACTTTACCACTGAGCTATTCGGGCGGCGACTGACCTCCTGTCCTACAGGGGGTTTCCACATTATACATATGATCGATAGAATTCGATCTGCACTCAGGACAAGACAACATGAAACTGGTTGCACTCCCGTGACCGATCAATACATGTAAGCCAGTCCTACAGGAGGCCAGTCACGGCCCGAATAGCTCAGTGGTAAAGTCGCTGACTACAACACTAGGTGACGCGTGTTTGAATCTCGGGCGGGACATCACTTCCGTCGAGGTTGCAGATACGCCTTGCTGACGAGTGCCAAAAAGCACAAAACCTAGGTCCAGGGCTTCTTGCCGATTGCCTCCAACCAACTAACATCTACTAATGTGCACTGCTATGCTTGGCTTCTTAATTTGGTTGCCACATTGCAAATATGATCGATAGAATTCGATCTGCACTCAGGACTAGACAACATGAAATTGGTTGCACTCCCGTGACCAATCAATACAAGTGTCAGGAATTATAAATAGGCGATAATGTATCAGGACACGTATATAAATTTGGAGTCACATTTCAGAGCTCAACAGATTCAAGGGTATGATTTGTATTTCTGTCGTACACTTCATGTAGTTAGGTAACACTCCCTTATGCATAAAATACTTGAAAATCGCTGAACAAATTTAGGTCAGATATAGCTGAAAGTGTGTTGAAGAGTCATAGATGCAACATCATCGACGATGTACCGTTAGATGTTCCATGAATGTTTCTCTATATTCATGCCATTTGTTTATTCCTTCTCATATACCTGAATGCTTTTACATCACTGGAATTGATAAACGTATGTCTCATATTTTAGCAATTCACCCTTGATATATTGATTTTTCTTGGTTTGAAACACATTTATTTTAAACGAATTAGTTGAATGTATGTTTAATATGACCAGCACTGTTTCATCTACAGGCAGCACAGACGAGGACGTGAAAGCCAGTCAGGATAGGAAAAGCAAGACAAGCGTTCATTAGCCTGAAACCAGTGTGAAGATCTAATGCACTGCACTCAGCATGTGGAACAAGATGCGAATTTTCAACACCAACATCAAGTCAGTGATTCTATATGATGGTTGAGAAACTTGGCGCGTTACGAAAAGCATTTCCAACAAACTGCAGACATTCATCAACAACTGCCTACGCTGACTCGTTACTGAAGATGAGATCAGATGGCCAGAATAATAAGAATAATCAACAAGAAACTCTGGCTGGGAAAAAACCAACGAAGCAAGAATCTATCGCTGAACAAATATGCACTGGAAGGAAGTGGAGATGGACTGGGTTGGGAATGCACTGAGTTGACTATTCGGGGATACCAAGCGTCAGGCCAGGCCGTCAAGTGGAACCTAGATGCGAAGCGACGAGTTGGGCGTCCGAGGCGACGGTGACATTGAGGAGATGGTATGAAGAAGAAATGAGAGCTTGTGAGCAGTCGTGGAGCCAGGTTGAAAAGATTGCAGAGAAGAGAGTGGAGTGGAAACGTGCTACTAAAGCCGTATGTTCCATTAGGAACCCAACGGACAAATAATATGATAATAATGTTTAATATGACAACGTCTGTTTGATAGAAAAGATAATGCCAAGATGGTTTTGGAAGTTCGTAGAAATTGTTGTATATATACATCAGTTTAATAGGAATATTTATTGATTAGTGTTTTTAACTCAATGGTTTCTTATGCGGACAGCTCAATGTTAAAGTTCATCAAACTTTTAAAGTATTTTATGTTGATTATCAACATGACCCAGATATTACTTATTAAAACCTTTCTCATCCAAATGAGCCATTAAATCAGTATTGAATTTGATACTACTGAGAAACTATCCAATTTGCTCCATCGTACATCTACCTAGAAAGGATGAAGATAACAATTAAGCAGGAAAAAAAAAAAAATAATTATGATCCTATGTGACTCCTATCTAACCCTGATATCTTATTCCAAACTTATGTACGCTTCTCGATACACTATCGTTTCTTATTATCATTGACACTGAATCTACCAGCGCCAGACAGTACAAATAGCAGGAAATAACACATAGTGTAAAACAGGATGTTATATTGACAGAAAAGCTGACATAATTTGAAACTAGTGGAATTCTAAAACAAATGTTCAGTTTTTAGGTGCTAAATATATCAATAAAATAATATAAAACAAACTCTACATTTGTCCCTCCCCAGAATACAGATACAGAAAAGAATATCTTCGTTATCTGATAAAGGTACAATCATTTTACAGACATTTAATGTATAGAGGGAAGGTTAAGTCTACTTATTATCAGGATACAAACTGATTGGAAGAGTATATATATCTGGAAATGCAGTATTTGATAATCGAAATACCAGAATAACTTCACCAAACTAATAATATATCGGGAAGTAAGAAATCGTAATCCTTGGAATGCTTTTGAGGATTATTAGTTTAGAAGTAAGTAAAAAAAGATTCGGAAGTCCATGGAGCTAGACAAAAATGTTTTCTTTTTTTTTGTGGAAAATGCAGACAAAATCGTAGATATATGATTGTATGCGTGTAGTCAACAAGGTAATGAACAAAAACAGTAATATCGTTACAAGTGAATTGGTTATATTAAAAGTAAATTGACTGAATGTAACATTGTATCCAACGTGCCCTTTGTCTAAACCTTGTGCTTCTGTTATCGTCCCTACCTGTGGGAGATTATTGACGCCATTATTTTCAATTTTTCCAGTTGCTTTACTGTGGATTTAGACAAGGAATCCATGATGTCCGCTTCACCAAGCGCTGATTTGATTCTGTTAATCCTAATCATTTTTCGTCTGCCGCAGCGTCCGACTATGACAACTTTGTCTGACTTATTAGTTACTTTGAAATGCCCTACATACAGAGGTTGCAAGGGTTTTCGTACTCTATCATGCCTGGTAAAAACATGAGTGCAGTTCGAGATGCACTGAGGTACCCACCCTTGCTCTTTATAGCATCGTGAGTACTGAGGTCGTAGTTTACTCACATGGCACCTCGGTTGAGGCACATAGTTGGTCAAGGCCAGTGAAACGCATGTTGTTGGGTTAGAATATTCCCACCGGCAATCTTTAAGGTAGTTCGGAAGCCAATATCCTGCTTGCACTCGAAAGTATATCAAGGGGAACCATTAGAAGTTTATCACTCCATTTGTCATCAGTCTTTACTGTCATCGGTGCTGCTTTTAGTTGTTGATGGAACCTTCCAACAATAACATTGGGTGCAAGGTGGTACGCCCTGTTTCTTTTACTTTTGATCCCGATATGTTCGATTAGTTGTTGCAATCGACAACTCTCGAATTGCTCACCTCTACCTGTAGCGGTGACATCCAGTGTTGGATGATATGTTTTGTTACTGTTTTGGCAGATATATGTTATCCAGAGGTGTTGGCACTGGTCATCTCGTAAGTCTGTCCACATATGTTAAAATAAAGCTGAAACTGTTTGATGGCGGTAGTCGCCCAACGATGTCAACATGTATATGGTCAAATCCACCATCTGATGCGGAAAATCATCTGGTTGGCGAAAGAATATGTCTCTGCGCTTTTGATCTCTGGCACTCTAAGCAAGCTCTGAACCACTTTCAAAGATCTCGATTCATATTTAGCCAGACACATCGGTCAGTAATTGACCTAACGGTAGCTCAAATATCAGGACTGGAAACGTCATACATATCACAGAAGAATAACCATCTCATTGAATGAAGCACAAACGGATGCGGTTTGCTCATGGATATATCACAGGTGATGGATAGAGAGTCACCAAGGTTAACTTCTTGAAGAGGTAGTGAGGTGTTTACACTATCTTTTAACTGGCTTATGTCTTCATCCGTCACCTGCAACTTTGCCCTCTCTGTTCGGTTGATATGGTCACGTTTACGCAAATATGAGACAAAGTTTCAGCTGCTTCATTTTTATTGCCTTTAATATATCTCATGTCTGAAGTTAATCGTGAAATAAATTTCAAATGCCGAGCTTCTCGCAGCACAGCAAATAATTGTCGTGTTTTGCGTTAATTGCTTTTGTGAGAGGCTTATGATCGTTGATTTCGATAAAAGCGAAGCCTTCGAGCATATATCTGAAATGCCTTATAGCTAAGTAAATTGCTAATAACACTCTATCGAATGTACTGCACCACGATTGTGAAGCACTAAGTGATGTCAAGTAAAAGGACAATGGTTCCCATTGACCATGGACAAACTGTTGTAGTACTACCCCTACAACAACACTTGACACTTCTGCTATGACTGACAGCGGTACTTCTGAATCACGAAGAGAGATGAGAGTTTCAGAACTAAGAACAAGCTTTAGTTTGCCAAAAGCATCGAGGGGAGTTTAGGTCATGTGAAATACTTTAGTTTGTTCTTGTAACAGATCTGTCAGCTGTTGGGGTATTTCAGCACAGTTAAGAATAAAACGTCGATTGAAGTTTATTAAACCAAAGAATCTGCGTTGCTTTCAAATCGAATTTGGAACAGAATATTCGTTAATTGCATGTAATTCTTGCGGAACCGATTTAACCCTGTCGGCATTAACTATGCGATCCAAAAATTGTAGAGGTTCTTTACCGAATTCATACTTCTACGGA